ACAAGCAGAACTCACAGCAGTCACTCGAGCATTCCAACTGGTGGCAGGACACTCCCTATCGCTTTACACCGACTCCAAATATGTCTTTCACATTTTGGTTTCACACTCAGCCATCTGGCAAGAACGGGGGTTGTTAACTACCAAAGGGTCGGCCATCATAAATGCTAAGCTCATTTCTGACCTACTTCAAGCCTCCTTGCATCCCAGGGCCATAGGCATCTCACACTGTAAAGCCCACCAGGTAGATTCATCTTTTATCACCTAAGGAAACTCGTGGGCCGACAGGGCAGCTCACCAAGTGGCTCTAAAACCCCTTCCTACCATACTCGTCAACACCTCCTCCCCACCAGCCGAACATACAGGTGAAGTTCCACAATTGTCCAATCTCATTCCCTACCTACACTCAATTTTCCACCCAAACCCAGCGGCTCTCACTTCATTTCTTAAAACTTTCTTCTACCTTACTCCTGAACATACAAAACTCATACAAACCCTTTCCTCTCAATGCTCTACTTGCCACCGAACAAATCCTAATACCCCCTTAAAGCCCGGAACGTTCCCACTCACCAGGTTAGGGGAGAGCTCCCTGGGTCAGACTGGCAAGTGGACTTCCCCGTCATGTCCCCCATCCGTAACACCAAATACCTTCTGGTCCTGGTCGACACCTTCTCCGGGTGGGTCAAGGCTTATCCCACCTCAAATAAGCGGGCTGCTACGGTGGGATCTATCTTAGCCAACCACATCATCCCTCGATTTGGGGTCTCCTTCTCCCTTCAGTCAGATAACGGGCCTGAATTCACCTCACAAGTCATTCAGTTTTTAACAACGGCCCTCAACATCAAATGACACTTTTGCATCCCCTATCACCCACAATCATCAGGAAAGGTTGAACGAACTAATCGCACACTAAAAGATATCCTCACCAAACTCTCTCTCAAACTCCATCAGGACTGGGTCTCCCTCCTTCCCCTAGCTCTCTTCCGCGTTTGCGTCCTCCCTAAAAAGCCCACTCAGCTTTCACCCTTCGAGGTCCTATATGGCAGACCTGCACTTCCTCCTGGTATTCCAACCTCTCCACCTCACGTCCCCTTTCATATAACCTACCCCCTCTTGTCCTTCATCCGTTCCAATATCGGGATCTCCTTTTGCCCGCTCCCACAGAAACACATAATCCAAAGCCTCTCACCCCGGGACAATGGGTTTTCCTCTCAGACCCAGAAACCAAAACTCGCTTACAACCGAAATGGCAAGGACCCTTCCAAATAGTCCTCTCCACCCCCACAGCTGCCAGGCTGCTCATAACCAAAGGACAGCTCAGTCCCTGGATTTACGCTTCTCGCCTCAAACCAGCTAAACTGCCTCCCTCTACCCCTTCCCCCACAGAGCTGCCGACCTATTCTTGTTCCACAATTCCAGGCCAGCCTCTCAAACTTCGAGTATCTCGTGTTGCTTGCTTCCCCTCCCTGCCCGTCATCCACAAAAATCCCACATAATCACAAGACGCGAAGGTTGCCGCCTGCACTCAACAACTACCCTCTGCCAAATGGTCGTCAATTTCGTTCTTCCCTTACTAATAGTACTGCCTTTCTTCTTACTCCTCCTTTTCCTCCTACTTTCACATTGCTGTACATAGTGCTGCTCCTTGGCGCGGGTTGCTCAATCCCCTCCTTTGCTCACTCAATAAGACCCAACATTTCCCTTCATGGTTTACCATAATAGGTCACACCCTCCGCTTCTTAAACCAATCCTTCCCTTCTCTTCCTTCTTCGCAGTGTTTTCTTTGTGCCTCATTACAACGAACTTTGCTGGCTGCCATTCCGTTTCCTGCCTCGCCCCACAGTAATAGTACCCTCAACCTGTCTTCCACCAGGTAGGCCATCACCAAACCTCAGCCCTCATTCGCCTTAAAAATCCGATTCTCTCCAATCATTACAAAGACAAATAATGAGCATAGCACAAGTAGCCCTCCAAAATCGTTGGGCTCTAGATCTCCTAACAGCCGAAAAGGGAGGCACTTGTCTTTTCCTCCAAGAGGAGTGCTGTTATTACATTAACGAGTCAGGAGTCACTGAACAAAACATGAATACATTACAACACCTCTCCTCACAACTCCAAGGGGCAAAGCTACACAAATCGGCAGCCTATTACAAAACTCCCTACTCACCTGGCTTTTGCCTATCGTCATACCTGTCATTCTCATTTTCGGCCTGTGCTCCTTTCTCCTGTGTATCATCAAGTTTCTCCAGTCACAACTTTTAAAAATCTCTAATCAAAGCATTAACCAGCTTCTCCTACAAAATTATGACCTCCTGTCCACCGAAGATCCAGGTCTCGACTGTCCCAACCCTACAAACCTCTAACCTTGTCTTCTCATTTCAGACATGCTCGCCTCAAAGTTTAACCCCCACCACCTACCACTAAGATTCTCAGCGTTTCTTGACCACCTTCTTCATGACAGCTGGCTCCTCCCTTTCCCGTGTCCACTTGACGACTGGCCGGACCAGCTTGTCGTTTTCCACTTACAAGGCACCTTCCAGGACTTCCACTCAAATGAAATTTTTTCTTTGGTGCCTACTTGTGAGGTCTCATGTGGCTTGTCCTTTCACCCACCTCACCCACCGACGCCCATTTTCAGCAGGAAGTAGCCAGACAGACAAACGCTGCCCCTCTCCCGTATAATCAAAGAGGTAGGAATGAAGGGCCACCGCCAAGCCACAAGTAAAGTCACATCCCCTCCCTTTCCTGGAAACGGCAACCTGGCAAACTAAAATGGCGATTGAAACGGTGCCTTCCTTTGTTCTCCCTCAGTGCCTTCCTTTGTTCTCCCTCCGCACCCCTTCCCACGCCCACAAAAAACCCACCAACCTGGATGGAGCTCTGCCAGCCGACCAATAATCGACTGACAGGTCACCCTAAGCCCCCATAAAGGCTGGAGCGCCCTTGCTTCAGTGCTACAGCCTGACCCTCAGGTCCTGTAGCCACCGCGTTCGACCCATTAAATCTCTAGGCCTTAACGGGTGTTGAGTCTCACTGTGCGCCACCGTCTTTCAGTGGGCCTTCTTGTCATTTATGTGATTCAGCCTCGTTCTGCAAGTTGCCAAGGACACAGCAGCACATATGCTCCTCTCTTTCTCACCAGACACCCTGTGCTGGTCTCTTGAGTAAACCTGATGAGCTGTGACAGTACAAACCAGAAGCTAAGGGCTTTGAAAGATTGTAGGGTCATAACAAGAGCTAAGAAAAAAAAAAACATAAACAAGAGGGGAAAAGCCACACAGCTTGCTGAATTTTCTATCCAAGTTTCTCAGCGAATTTTTCTAGCATCAATAAACCTAATGCAAACCTTGCAGCTTCTGATCACAGAAATGTTTTCACAACTAAAAAAAACTGTTAGCAAAAGTTTTAAAGTAAATTAAATTTTATTACTATCTTTGAAAAGAAAACAAGTAAAGCTTAAATAAACAGTTTTTTAATATAAAATCAAATCAAGTAGCATTTATGGATACTTCACTACATTTTTAAAGAAACTATACAAATGTATTGTCTTTAGTTATTAATTATTTCAGAAAGTTTTAAGTGCTACATCCTTAAAATGTTTTTTAAATCAATTATATAAAAAATCAGTTATATAAAGGTTAAAAAAAACCATTTCCAGTGCATTTTAAGAAATATTCAAGTGGGGAAGCAGGGAGGGACGATAGGGTTCAGAAGTTACCTATCAGATACAATGTTCACTATCTAAGGAATGGGCCACCTGAAGCCCAATCCCCAACAGTATGCAATATGTCCATGTAACAAACATGCTTTTGTACCCTCTGAATTTAAAATAAATAAATACTCAAAATAAGCAATAGATATTTTTTAATTTACCAAATTCAACTAATTTAAGATTGTGCCTTTTGAAATTATTTAACTCTAAGACCCTTAAACTATTTAATATTCAAGTCAATAAATAACATTTATGTAAATTAAAAGACTATAAATAACAATAAAAAGTAAATGACTGAAAAAAAGTTTTTACTTTGATGAGAAAGGGTTGACATATACAATAAATGAAACACTCAAGCAAATCGGTAAGAAAAGGAACACTTTAAAAGAAAAATGGAAAATGTGATTAGCAGGCAAATGATAAAGAAATATTTATGGTAAAAAATACATGGAAACAAAAAGATTCAACCTCCCTAGTAATCTAAAAAACAAAAATTTGAAAAATAACTTTTTTTTTAGTAAGGGTCTTACTCTGTCATCCAGGTGAGAGTGCAGTGGCACAACCCCAGCTCACCAAAACCTCAACCTCCTGGGCTCAGGAGATCCTTCTACCTCAGCCTCCAAAGTAGCCAGGACTACAGGTGCATACCACCACGCCCAGCTAACCTTTTATTTTTCTGTAGACACAAGGTTTCTCTATGTTGTCCAAGCTGGTCTCAAACTCCTGGCCTCGAGCAATCTTCTCACCTTGAGCAATCCTCAGCCTTCCAAAGTGCTGGGATTAAATGCGTGAGCACCACGCCTGGCCCAAAATAACATTTTTTAAATTAGTAAAAAAGTAACAGGAAAGATAATTCCCAAGGTTGGCCAGAGTAGGGAAAAAAACACTTTCACCTACCTCTAATGGTGGTAGAAATGGGTATACCTTTCTAAAAGACCATCTGTCAGCCTTAAATACATATCCCTTTATCCTATGGAACTAGATAGGTCTACAAAGATACATGTATAAAGGTATTAATCATAACATCTAGTTTGATTACATAAATCTGGAAATATTCTAAATGCTTAACAAAATAAGAGATTTGGTTAAATAAACTATGGTATAGCTATATGATGGAATACAATGCAGAAATAAAACTCAATTTGTAGAGATATGTTTTACATGGGAATATAGTCACAATATATTATGGAAAAGTAGTCAAGGAAGTAGAATATGCACAATAATCTATTTTCGAACTAAAGTTATTTTATGTATATACAAATACATTCTTTTTTTTAAACCACAGATAAAAGCAAAAGTCCTCATTACCATTTATCTTACCAACCAGCATCCCTTCCCAGAAATAATCAGTACATAGATGAGGTCTCGCCACATTGCCCAGGCTGGTCTGGAACTCCTGCGTTCAGGCAATCTCTCACCTCAGCCCCTCAAAGTCCTGGGATTACATGCATGAGTCAATGTGCCCAGCTATCACACCTTTGTTTCTATTCTAACTGATTCCAAATTCTGCTTTAACATGGTTTGGACTATTTGTACTCAATATTCAAAAGGCTATCAAGAAAGCTGCTTTACAACTTTCAATTACTTTCCTCACAATGAACTTAAACAACATATCTGCCTATGTGTAGTTTTGCCAAGACATCAAAATTCAACAAAACTTGCATGCAGACCTATCAGAGTGAAACTGCAAAACACCAAAGATGACATGAAAAGATTAAAATGTCTAGATTAAAAAAAAGAAAGGTTATAGTCAGAGGAGAAATACTTAGACTGACAGCTGTATTCTCAACAGCAATAATGGAAACCAAAAGGCAAAAAATGATTGATTCAATGTGCTAAAAGAGAATAGCTGTCAACCTGGAATTCTATGACCACAGAAAATGTCTTTCAAGGATGAAGGTGAGATAATGACTTATTCAGATGAACATAAATAGAGACAGAATGCCACTAGCAGACCTTCGTAATAGAAATTCTGAAGAATCTACCTCAGACAGAAGAAAATTAATCCCAGATGAAAGGCTGAGATGATAAGAAGAAATAAAGAGCAAAGAACATGTTAAATATGTGAGCAAACTTCAACAAATATTGACTATAGAAACAACAACAATAATAGTCTGTAGAATTAAAAAAGATATAATTAAAACATAAAATAGGTAGATCACTTCAAGATGGCTGAATGGAGGCATCTAACACTCCCTTCCTCCAAAAAGAACCAAAATAGCAGGTACATGATCACACTTTTAGACAGCATCTAAGAGAGAACACTAGAATTCAACAGAAAAGTTATAGGAAACACTTGACTCATAGAAGAAGAGGGAAGTGTGGCAGCCAGCTGGGCCAGGACTGGCTGGGAACTCAAAGAGGCTCCCCAGTGACGGGAAAGGGTAAGTGAGAGATCCCCAGCAGTCAACAATCCTACCATGACCTCTCCAACCCTAGCCACATATGAACCCATAACGGGCCCTGAGAATACCATAGGGACCTGTCTAGACCATACAATGCCATTTCTCCAGAGAGAAAGCTAATATTTGGTCCTAAGCAGCTACAGCACAGTGCTATTTTGAGAGCTCAGCACTCACCACACTGCATCTTACCCTGGGGTACAGCCCCTACATCCCTACATCCCTGGAGCCCCACTGACATTTCTCTGCATCTACCCTGAGGGCTGCAGTAGTAAGACAATGGTCGGACCCAGCAAAGCAGCAAGGTCCTCAGCACTCTTAGCACACACAGTGTCCTGCACCCTGAGGAATAAGTAGTGCAGCACACTAGTGAGGCTGCCCCCAAGTACAAAGGAAACCAAAATGCATGCTCCCTAGAACTTGAGAATGGCCTACTTGGGAGGGCTACCACAGACAGCAACCCCACCCTAACCCCAGCAGTAGCACACCTTTGCACAGGCCCTGAGAATAGGCTCTAACACCGCCCACCACAGCTGCTGCTGGGGGCCTAAGTATGTGCTGCTGGCAGAAACACCCCACTCCTCCAACCCCAATAGTAAGGCCACTTTTGCACATTTGCATGAGTGTTGAGGAATGGGTTTTCCTGCTACTGCCACCACCAGGGGCTGAAACACATGCCCCACTCCCAGAACCTGAGAACTGCCTATCTAGGATTGCACCTTCCCCCAGCAGCTGGACCACAGCATACTTGCACACACCCTGAGGACAGGCTCCACACAACCATCACTGCTGCTGCCACCCAAGCACTGTGTTGGGGGTCCTGGAGATCACCCTGCCCTATCCACCACAGCCAGCACCTGAACACACCACTAGAGCTCTGAGGACAGGCATAGCTGACTTGGAACCATCCCTGAGCCCAGTGCCCGAGCACACCTCCCAGGGCTATGTGGGGACTGTCCCACACTGTTCACCACTGCTGGCATCTGTGCACTACTCTTGGGTTGCAGGGGTGGAGGGCAGGCCCATCTAGCCTGTCACAGGCATTGTTAACACCAATACATGTTGCTTCGAAGTCCAAGAGTAGTTGGCACTACTACTACCATTGCCCATGCCACACATGCCACCCAGGGAACTGAGGACCTATCCACCTGCCCAACCTACTGCTGCCACTGCCAGTACCTGAGCAATCTGCCTAGAAACCCAAGAATCAGACCATTTGGGCCAGATAAAACTGATGTCTCTATACACCAACCAGGGGCCCAAGAACAGGCGCACTCAGCCTGCTGCTGCCATCACTAGGACTCAGGCACTGGCCCATCTGGCGTCTCCCATCCCTGGAAAACCTGACCACAGCCTCAACTAACAACCAAAGCCTAAGTCACTGAGGAAACAAAAAACACCATTGACATCATTTATAGCCAAAGAACTTACACTACTTCATGCACCCAGAATCAAAGCTAAAGTATCCTACTCAACCAACAACATAGATACATCTTAGGAAAAAGACTTCCTGTATGAAAACAAATCCAAAAAACTGGAAGAAGTGACTGTTACACCAGATGCAAAGATATCAACATAAGGACACAAGAAACATGAAAAAAGAAGAAAATATTACATGTTCAAAGAAATATAATAATTCTCCAGTAAAAGATTCCAATGAAAAAGAAATGTATGAAATGCCTGAAAAGGGATTAAAAATAGTGATATTAAGGACATTCAATGAGATACAAGGGAACACAAATAAACATTATGAAGAAATCAGAAAAACAATTCAGGATATGAATGAGAAATTCACCAGAAAAACAGATATCATAAAAAAAGTACCAAACAAAAACCCTGGAACAAGCAACTAATATCCAGAATATACAAGAAACTCAACTCAACCAAAACAAAAACAAAATCCCAATAAGCCCAGTAAAAAGTGGGCAAAAGATATGAATGGACATTCTCAAAAGAAGACATATAAATAGCCAACACGTACATGGAAAAATGTTCAACGTCACTAATCAGGGAAGTGCAAATCAAAACCACAATGAGATATCATCTTATCTCAGTTAGAATGGCTATTATTAAAAAGACAAGAAACAACAGATGCTGGTGATGATGCAAAGAAAGGGGAACTT